TCTTGTTGCAGACTATGCTGCGAACTACGCCATGAAGGTAATTATATATGCGTTACATTTCATTGGATGAAAAACCGCCGGCCATCAGAAACCGCAGGTCATCAGAAACCGCTGCTCATCAATCGAGAGATATTGAAACCTTCGTCTGATGTCAAGTTGGCCGGAATTGAATTCATTTGAAGAACAACTTGAAAAATATGAGAACGTGAATTTGACGAGAGAGCTATAAGGGGCTTAGCTACTTATTTAATGCGTTGTTGCGAGATTGGGGAGAAATTATGTCGAGAGCAGTCATACTTCTTCTCGAATTTCACTTTTTTCCCATGCTCACCGAGCCTCCAAGTCTGATTTTCAACCGTATGCTTTTTGAAATAAATCCTGTTCTTGCACCCGTGCTTCACTTGCATGAAACTGTGCATTGATGAAATATTGAGAAAGGAAGAGGGACCACAAACTATCATCAGTAGTAGGGGGTTCATGGGAGCCCTATCCTAATAACATTTGTTAGTGCGCAGCAAAGCAGAAACGTACAAGGAGAGGTACATATGTGAGACATACATTTCGGTGGCCTTCAGGTCCGCATGCGTATCTACGTACCTACCTCTGTGCGTATGTGGTCCAGAGGTACACATTGGTACGTTGCAGACGCAGATGTCCAAGTTCCCAATACAAGACCCAAAATGAGCAAAAGATGGTGTTCATGTTCCTCGAACATTCAAACTTGATGCACCGGATCATAATTAGAGAGTTTTCTTCCTTTCTCTGCGTTCATCTCATGATAATCACCAGTTGATGATGATTAATTACCAGTTACTCACTTCTAATGTTTTACGACATACCAAATATGTCATATGTCATGATCCGAACGTCACATCTGCCACGATAGGTATGTCTCTCTCCCATTGACCGCTGCTACGGCCGGTAACTCAGACGCTGTGACCTCCTTTGTCAGCCTCCCATTCACTCGGCTCTCTTGAAGGTTGTTCTGAGACGCCTATTCCCATTCTTCAACCCATGAGAATATTTCATTTCAAAATTATAAAAAAAAAGGAAATTGCACAGGGTTTATACTCTATGGGGTTGCAAAAAGCACAGGCTCTCGGTTCTGGAAGATCAGAATTTCATCCCGAAATTTATTATTTACATTTCTACCTATTTTTTACTTCCTTTTCCAACCGCAGCCCTTCATGATGGATGACCTCGAATTAACAGGACTTAACTGAATTAACAGGACAATTAACAGGACTGCGTCAAACAGGTGAATTTCTGCTCAGAGATATTCGAGTCCAGATGAGTCGAGAAACTCCAGATTGCCCTATCGTTCTTACTGAAATGGCGCATTAATCTTGAGGTAGACCCTCGAAGGAGTAATTAGATGAAAATTGAATTTATTTTGGGATGAACACGTGTCGACCTAAGCCTAATTTATATGCAGTTAATGTGTTCGGCCAAGACATTACGTTATAAGTAAAGGGGGGGAGATGATTGCAGAAAGTGAACATTTTGGAATTTTTTTCACGTCTCTTCGTCGATTCGCAAGGAATTTATTGATTGATGCTCATTGATGCTAATTCGCATGACTGTCACATTTTGTTCATTAGGTGAACTCGTTCTTTGCGGCTGCAGGTATGAATTCCCTACTTCAGTCGGCTTTGGCAAAAATAAGTGTAAAGACTGTAACTCTTATTTACATGAGAACAGGCATCACCTTGATATGATAAACTGCGGCATTGCTCGATGCTGTCATCCACGCAGTTCCACCCTATATCGCCTGCAAAGCCGTTTCAACAGGCGTGCAATGAAACACCATTCTCATCTATAACTGCGATGCTAGTCGAACACGCGCCTTCGTTGCCGGACTCGAACGCGATCCCATGACTCCTGCAAGTGGATGCTTCATGACGACCATAACGAAGCAGCATTTTCCCTTCCTCGTTTTCCTCTTGGAAGAAACTCCATTCTCTCAGCATCCTAGGATACTCAATACACAAGACCCAATTCAATACGAAATTCAATACTCTATTCCCAATACCGAAACCGTAATAGATACCAAATGCCCTATTCAATAATTTATCTGAATCTAATCGAATTCCTCTTTTCCCGGTTCACTCCCAATTCCTCTCCGTCTTTCAGACAGGTTATTCGAGACCTGCTGAGGACCCTAGCGATGGAAAATGCCAATTTCAATTTTCAGAATGTCTTTGAAATGCGCAGGGTGGTCCACAATTGTCTCCCCAAAAGTAAAAGCTCATTACTCAGGAAGTATTCATCCGATATCAATAAATATATATGTCCAACGATAACCAACTCAATATATTTTTACTGTGAACATTCTCAGCATTCCATTAAGAAAATAGAACCAAGTTACACCATAACAAATGAAAATACCCATGTCGTGTAACTTAAGCCTATAAATACCACAATTCCTCCTGAAATTCGCAATTCATTTGTGGGTTTCTCACGCAATGCGAGGGGTCTGTGTTATGGGTGACCTCAGTATCCTGCTGCAGATGAATATTGCCATTTGGTTTGATAATTTGACGAGAGCAAATTTATGCGGGGAAATTTTGCAATTTTTTTTTTAGTTTGGGTCCAAATGCCTCGGATCCTGATGAGATCATCAAGGCAATTCATAAGAGGTTTCTGGACTCGAAGAGATACATCGACGGACTGAGACCAATGACAGCCTGAAACACGCCATTAGAGAGGCCTTCGCCAGAGTACGGCTAGAGATGATTGAAGGAATTCTGCTGCCATTCAAAGAAAGACTGCATCGAGACCTTGAAAATTGTGGAAGTCACATTGAACACTAAAGATTTGGCGGCTTTCGTTTTTAAGAATGTAACTTTGTGGTATTTCATTATGGAACGCTGAATTTTCTTACAATGAAAATATTTTGAATTGGCTATCGTTTAAGCCATATATAATTGAAATCGGATGTATACTTCCTGATGGATAAGCTTTTACTTTTGAGGATGCAATTTTGGACCACGTTGTGAAATTCTAATCGTCTAGAAAAATTACGAGCATTTTGGCTGAATCCAGAGGTCAAAACGTGTACAAGATATCAGGTACAATTCGCCCAGAGACGTCTTTGGACTCTTCATTTAATTAATTCTAACCGGAGGTCCGGAGGTTAAACATATAGCGTGCGCGATCATGACCGCTAGCTGGACCGAGCAACAATTGTGTGTGTGTGTGTGTGTGTGTGTGTGTGACAGCTCTACATGCCAAACGCTTAGGGATATGTACATAGAGTTTCGACAGAACTCTTCCTCATCATTCGACGATGCGCCTTTTCAAAATGAAATTTCGAAATTTGCCAAGGGAAAAGGAGTGGATGCAATTTTCACGGAAAATCGGAGATTCGCTTTCGTCTCGCCATCTCTCGGAAGAACGAGGAGACGAGAGTTGCGGCTATAATCGCTAGGGAACTGCGACATCGCTCACCTTGATGCCTGCTGGCAGAAATCCTGGGAATTTAAACGGCCATGATGAAATTTGGGTGATATATTTTTCTTCGACTGCATTCACATTCACCTCCTTCGCTTCATTCACTGATCGGATGCCGAAGAAAGACCACGGGTCAATGTGACCTGCATACTTGTAGGTAGTCCGTGCAAAAGTACGGACGTTTTTGAAGGCGCAGAATGCGCACATGGCCATGGGAGGCGTTCTCCACACTCCCAACCCCCCTGCCCCCTGCCCCCTGGATGGTCAGGTGAGAAAACAGAACGCGGCAAAAGCACTCTAAATGTCTTGGCCTGCCCTTGGGCTTCGTGCATCGTCTTTGCGAAGGACGGGGAACCGACGCCGATCGAAGACGAATGCTAATCCAAAGACGAAGGCGTTGCCTTAAATCGTCGCCTCGTAGGACAATGTGATATGTGGGCTTTTATTAGCGGCCTCACGCTACGGACATGGTCAATGTCCTGTTGCCACGTTGAGTGTACCTGTTACCTGGCTATGGGAATGCCACTGAGCTAAGAAATAAGTGGAGATGGCCCATCCATAGGAACAGTATAGGCATGCGTGCTGCAATTTAAAGCCATATTTGTTGGGCTCATGGCACATAGTCACTTCCTATTGGAATTCCCTTGATTTTTCAACCCAAATTTCTTCGAAATACAAACTCTTAGGAAAAAAGCCTCGACACAGCAGGAACAATATTTACTCAGAGGAACCAGTAAGCCCTATGGAGTCGTCCCAAACACTTCTTTTTATCATGGATATGGGCCAAATACTTCAATTTAGGCTAATGGAAGAAGATAGCGATTGAACAAAATCATGTCAGCAAAATGCGAAGTGATTCACGTGCGAAGTGATTCAGCGAGTTTAAAGCAGGCCTTCGGTGCGCATCGAGTGAAGGAGCAGGTACCAAGGGATCATTCGAGCAGCCCTACTGAATACTTCGGCATGCCCTGCCAACACCCGCTAACACTTTCCCCATGCACAAAGTGGTCGCCCATCATTAGCTTATGTTTTTTTTCCTTTGTACTTTAACTTCGTCAAACGAACGTTCGTTCGACTTCAAGCCTCCCTCTGTGTGTAAAATAGTTCGTCAGTGATGATGCAAAGGCGGCGAAATATCGCCTTCGTAGGCCCTGCGATCCGTGCAAAGGCATGCCTGGAACTTTAGGCCCACTCGAGAAATTGGAGATCGACTAAAGGGATGGTAACGACGTCGCCGACGTCGTCTTTCCGATCCAAAAGTAAGCGCTCCTGTGGCATACAGGTGGGATCCCGCCGTTTTCACCTTCGGGGGTCACTCTTCTTGTGAGGAATGAGAGGATGGAGTTTCGATTGAAGAAGGGGTTAGGATCCCGATTAATGGAGGAGCGATCTCCTACAGCGAGGAAGTCTTCTTCCAGGGATGAAAGAGGACTCAAAGTGCAATACGCGGGGACGTTTTACACGTCCCAGCAGAAAAGTCCGTATGGTGCCCCTCAAAGTAGAGAGCGGGAGATTTGTGTAGAATGCTTCACTCTACTGTTGTTATGTTAGGGATGGGATGGAGAAGATCGACTCAGGTTCTTGGGTTTGGTGGTGTAGTGGTAGCAAACTCGACCGGGAACCTGGAGGACCTGGATTCGATTCCCTTCATCCTTCACCACCATCATTCCACCCCCTCCGTCATTCTCTTTTTCGTCCCATTGTGACATCCGAACTCTTCTCCCATCCCCCGGGGTTTTATTGAACCCTTTCCATGGGAATATCAAAGTCACATAGTTCAGGGAACTAATTAATTGAACTTTTTTCATTGCTTTGAATTTTTAGTATGGAGGCAATTAATAGAACGTTCCCAATGACGTTAATGGAACGCTGGCAATGACTTGAATTAAACGTTGATTGAACACGTTCGGGAGCTACTGGGTCTCTGAAGATCATGGTGACTCCTTTCACAACAGAGCATTCCGTTTCCTCCGGTTTGCTGCAGGTTTACCTGCCACTAGTAACAAACCTGTGAGTCTTGGAATTCTTTGTAAGTCTTTGCCCTACAAAATCTTACTTTATCGAAAATATGTTCACTTCCCTAGAAGATTCCAGGGAGTAGGATGCATATCATCAATGTTTATGAATGAAAACGAAAAGTTTTCATTCAGAAAAAATAAATCAAAATGAACCTCTATAAGCTGTAATTTTGCTCCGAACTGAAACAAAGTGAGTCGAAGGTTCACTGAAGGTCGAAATTCTGGCGAAACTGGCGAAAAGTTAGGAGTCGCACAAAATTTCGTTCCAGTTGCAAAACCGCTAAATAATGAGCAGTGAAATTCGGTACAAGGAGATAAAACTTTCTCCGACGGACCTTCTCAGTTTTAGGGAAAAAAAAATAAAGCAACTTATCTGTGGAATATCTGAGTCGGAAGTTCGTTATGTGGCACTACCTAAAATGAATAAAAACAGGAAGTTTCCAGATCTCCATTGAGATGTCGTCTAAATCGTCATCGGCGCGAGTCATCCCTATCCTGTCGGTCCGACGACATTCCATGATCTTTGATCATTTCTCATGTTTGCGCTGAATTGACCCCATGGGTTACAAGGAAGGGAAAGATAGGACTCCCGTCTCACTCCATGGAGACGGCATATTTCTCTCCTAGACCGGCTGTCGGCGCTGGTGCAGCGTGAGGTTGGGATGCCATCACAGTCGCAGTTCAGGCCGTTTCCAGTGAGGAAGCGAGCAAAGAACGTTGCGACGGTGCCGTGATAACCAACAGTACTCGGGGTATTCTGAAGAGAGCATAGCTCAAATTGTCTCATCCGTGAGGCCAAAACTCAAGCCACGACTTAATGTTGGTGCGATCGGGATCCCATTGGACAGAAGCCTCAGAGATGAAGTGTTCCATCTTTTCATTGTGTCCGATAGTCTTAAGACGCGGTTTCTGCTTTCCATTTTGCAACCTCTCTGCAATCGTGTCAAATCGGAAACGTATGTTAAGCATGCAATTTTATCCTTACCGCTTACAATACTCCAAGGAAGACCAAAATGAGAAAATTCCAATGCCTGGCTGAGTTCGTACGGGATGACACCCTGTGGACAATATAGAGAAATTCCTTTGCAGCCACTAACAATATAATTTTGAGTCGCACAAAAAGCTCTCATTACCATTTTTCTCGCTTTAATATTTTACTGCTCACTACTTTTTCTCATTGCCTCGAGATGGAATTTCTTATTCCATCTCGAGGCTCGCACATCACGATGGAAAGCTGATCTCTCAGACTCCAGCGAAAAGCGCGGAGCCGCGACTGACGAAGGCGAATGATTTCTTAATGACCGTTTAAACATTTCTAATGTTGTGTAACACACCTAATGTGTCATATGTGTTGATCTGAATGCCACATCTGTCACAATATGCATGCCTATTGCGACAGACGGAAGTGTCAAGACTAGTCGAATACCCCATCATATCCCACCGACAAAAATTTTCTATTGAAAACATCCTATTGGAACGACCCATATGAAAGTGACCTTTCGTTCCCGGATGGTTTAAAGTTTCATTCAAATGGCGATGGATTTTCCCTCACATGTAAAGTATTTTGCGCTTTTGAGCCACAGTCAAAGTGGTGAAACTTTGCTTCGCATGAGAGATTGAAAATTAGGACTCCGATTTTGAAAATTCGTGAAGATGAGCCGAGAAATGAGGTCATGAGATCATTCATGATGTCACTCACGAGTGTACAGGTAAAATGAAGATCCCTGCGGCTGGGCTTCTGCCTTATGTTCAACACCGACATTTTTTTCTACTTTCACAGTCCTTCCTCCAACTTGTGAGAGGTCGACATGATGAACGATCGAATGATGAGCGATTGAAGCAAATAATTATTGGCTGGGTTGCACCAGACGGAAACGCGTAGTTTGTCGGCGCGATGGGAAATCTGGAAACGCGAGTTGGGAAATTCTTCGACATGGGCTGATTCTGTCGATTAACGTAAGATTATTCAATTATTTTGGGATGATTCAGTCGATTACTGGGGCCCTGCAATCTGCCTCGCCCGGACGAGAATCTCGAAATGCGAGGGAATTGGCGAGGCCTCGTTTTCTGGTGGAACCCGATCACTCCCAATAGCTATGAGTGGATTAATCGAAATTCGTTGCACGGGCCAGGGCTCTTCGTAAAGAAACATATCAAGGACCTTCGTCGTTGTTAAGGCTTGTTCTCAATGAAACGCATTCCCTTCATTTCGGTCCGATTTATTTTTTTTTTGAAAGCGGAAGGATGCGGCTCCACGATGTCAGCATTCTCCACGCTTCGTCTCAGTTCCTGAAATTGGAAGTCGAAAATGCATGAACCGTGCAGAAGATCCATGGCTAAAAATGGCATGCATCACAACAGGAGAAAGAGGTTTCTGACCGACCAATTGTTTTACTTTTTACTTTTATTGTTTCAATGGAAAGGCAGTTGATGAAGATGGATCGATTAATCTGCCGATATAACTTAAAATGTAAAACGTTAGTTTAAGCATTTCAATGTAAATTTAACTTTTTTACTTCGGTAGAGATCTACGACGATTTGCCGTATATTCAACATATTTTTAAACGTATCTGCTCAATTTGATAATACATTTCTTGCAAAAAATATACATATAAATGTGAAGCAGGAGGTTATAAATCGTACATTGCGACTCCAGGGCATTCTCCCCGCTCCTCTTCCACGACAAGCCGATGCAAAACCGCCTGTTTAGCTCATCCATTGGGTCCTCCCTTCTATTCACTCCGAACCCAATGCACAATCGGTCGTAGATTTCTTTTATGGATTCTTCTGTCAAGTTCTCCTTCAACCTGCGTTTGAAAAAAAAGTGAAGAGAAGGTCTCCGCTCTTATGAGTTGACACTACGAAACTGACGCCAAGAGCAAGTTTATACCGAACTTTCAATTTATCAGTATTCGGATCATACTACCTCCGGAACCAAGTTTTCGCGCTGGTTTTTGAACTCACCAAATCTACGAATTGCTCTCAAAGGTGACCACTGTGCACAAGGAGTTCTAGTCTCGGACTGAAAGGCGAATGCTAGCCAAACAATTCAGATCGCTCAACGTTCAATTCGTTTGGCATGATTGCCGCTACCTCCTTCGTCAAATCGGGCAGGATTTATTTCGGGATGAAATTTTGCGATTTAAGGAATTTTGCGAACTTCTGATATCGCAACCTAATTTCACCGACTTTCTGGTGCTACATCCTCTATTTTTGTCCTCCCTCTTGGCAGCAAGATTCTCAACGGAGAGACAAACTAAGAAGTTGGAATTGCCCTAGACGAGGAGTCCAATGGCATCCTACCTGTCAACGGCGACATCCACCCTGCTCTCGGCGGCATCCATCAGCGATCCCGCGTCCCTCCGCGACGGGGTCTCCTCGTCGCCCTTCCAGTCGCGCTTCGCCGGCAGCTGTCAACGGGAACCGTCAAGCATTCATTCATTGTACCGATGAATAAATATTTAAAGCATGATTTGCACGCTATCTTTACTAATCTCTAATATTTAAGTAAAACATTTAAATACTAGGTAAGTACGCAAAAATTCTAAAGAATCCAGACAATCTGATCGCAACGTAAACGATAAAAGGGCTCTTTCATGCAACTTTAATGGCACTAAAGGTGAATCTACGAAAGGATCTGCGTCTCATCCCTTGAAAAGGGATAAGCCGTTTCAAGAAGCTCCAAGCCTTCTCAACTGCCTCCTTATTTGTTCATACAAATTTCTCAGTGGATCACATGCATCTACCACAGTAAAGCATTCCTGACATTCGAAGTGAAGCCACGTTGATTCAGTTCTGATAGAGGAATCGAGCCCAAAGGACTAGGTTGTTAAGCCAATTGATGGAGAAAAGGTAAATGCTTTTAAAACGGCATTGATCAGGAAGGAAGACCAATGGAAGAATCTTATGAAAACAATTGAAGAAAAAAGTGTCAATATAACATTGAAATAAAGTAACGCGCGTAATTACGGAGGACAAGACCAATGCGATACTCCCTGAAGCCGAAATATTTATGTCCTATTACTTTATGAAGTGGCCCTGGGCCGGAAACGAGACAGTGGTGCGATAGCAATATTACGTTCCGATGCGCATTAAACAATTAGAAAGAGAAATGGGCGACGAAAACTCACGGAATCGGCGGCGACGAGAAACCAAAACAGGACCAGCAGCTTCATCATCAGGGACAAAATTTGCTCCGGCAAAGGTCCTTCAGCAAAGCTACTCCGGCAAAGCTACTTCAGCAAAGCTCCTCCGTCAGAGCTACTTATAGCGGATGGCGCCCCCGACATGGAATTGCGAGGTGAAGGACCTCGAAAGCGCCAGATCGCGAATTCGATTACGCTTAATGCGATCTGGTGCCACCAACGCCGGAATCCGCATTTGCAATTTTAATCGATCCATGGCATGTGCGAGAAATGAATCACCTTTTTGCGCAGCTGGTTGAGCAATCAGCCGGAAAGTGCAGAATTCGTAGCGGGTCAACGTTATGCACAGAGAGAAAACCGCGAACTGGCCTCGAGGCCCTGCACTTATATTGCCTGAAATCAGCTCAAATTTCTCCATTTTGATCCGTTTCCAACGCGTTAATCCATTTTTATTGAGCGAACCTTCGAAACTGAAGACTGTGCGGAAATATTGATTCTTCGTGCTGGATACTTTATGCCATCGATTTCCCACCGAGCTGCCTATTGCATGACTATAACGGAGTCTCATGCCTATCGATCGAGTCGGACTACTACTTCCGGAGCCCGAATTGACGCGTGGGCAAATGCACGTTACCTGCTCGGGAGTTCCCTCTGCGGGTTCGCTGGAGATTCAAGTTATCGAAGGGCTTCAGCAAGGGAAAACTGATGATGGCACTGTTACCGATAATGTGGACATTGAGGATATTCTCTTTATTGTCATATTGATTTGTTTGGAAAGTGTTTGTTCGTTATGATATGAAACATTCCGTTTAATTTTTATGTGTCGTGTTTTTCGATGTCCATGATTCCTACCATATTTGTTTACACATGTTTAACTAAATTCGTGTAATTTTTTGTGCAAACTGGCAGGTGTACGAGCATGCTGTGTCCCAGCATCCATTCGATGTAAATACATTCCATCGTTTACTATAGATCAAATTTTGGCAGCGGGAATTTGTCCAACACTATTCTTAGTTGATGAGACGTGATAAAAGAAGTATTCGTAGTTGGGCCGAAGGGCGCCATTCCGGCCACAGGCGGCTAGTTCAATGGAATTCTGGGGTTGGCCTTTTCTTGATACTCTTATGTCCTTAACTGGGAACCAACCCCATTGCTTTATTCAGTGAAAAGGTGCCAAATACAGCTTAATCTGAAGATTTCGGCAAACATGTATTTGCTGGTCCGGAGAGTCGAGCTACACTCGAAGAAAGATGAGGAAACATTCTCTCAGTAAGTTCCCTGTTAACTTCTGGAGTTATGAAGAGAAGTGGACGAGGTATTGCAGAAAGGTATGATGAGCAAAATTACCATTCACGGTCAATAAGAATGCACATTAACGAATTATTACGGTAAATTAGTGAATTTTGGCAAGGGACCAACATCAGAGGAATTTTTACTGAATTCATTCGAAATGGTCACACTGTTTCTTAACGTTTTGAAATTCACATTTCAAACCCCTTCTAAAGACTGAATTTTGACGTTACCTAGATTCATGGCGATGGCCTTTGGCAACTCTCGAGTGATTTTGCCTCAAAGACGGGAAGGAGAAAGGAGTGAATGGGAAGGGAGGAAGCGTAATTGAGGCCTGGGATTTTATATGGTATTGGGTATTTAAAAGTAATGACTGAGTACTGAATGCGGTTTTATATTGGTATTGAATATGATATGGGGTATTGAATAGGGTATTGAGTGGGTAGGGTAGGATGTTGAGAGAAAGGAGCTGGCATATTCCAAGAGGAAAACGAGGAAGGAAAACGCAGTCTCATTATGGAGTGCCCAACTGCGAAAGTCACTTAATCGCGTTCATGATCGGCTACGAGGGAGTGTGTTCTCCTAACGTCGCAGTAATCCAACGGACGAGACTGGTGCTTTACTGCACTCCTGCTCAAGTCGCTTCCCAGGCAATACTGGTTGGAACTACGTAGATGAAAGAGTCGCTAGGAATGGCACGATTTACCGAATTAGGGTGAGTACTCCTCTTGCTTAATAAGATTTAAAAAGAAACAAGTATTACGGTCTATACAAATGTTCATGCCAGAGACGACACAAGAAGGGTATTCACTCGTGCAGCCGCAGGAAGCAAGTTCGTATCCTAAGTATAAGCAAGGACGTATGGTTGGTATTAAAATCAAAGGGAATTGTCTCAGCTGAACGGTAGCGTTGATTCCACGTTACGAAAAAAATGGTTTGGCAGTTATTGCGATTTTAGCATAACCCTGTAAATAGCCATGTGGCGGTAGCTTTAAGAATGAACTTCTGCTAAACTGTTGGTCAGAGGTCTCTGTGAGATCCTTTCTTCCACCCCTCTTGAGGCTCTCCACAATAATTATAAGCCAAATTTCAATTCCCAGGCCCTCAGTTTTTGAGTTCCTTCCTACCTTTAAGTGACGAAACCATCGTATCCAAGAAGTTAATTGCTTTTTGGATGAAAATCTTGCAAAAGGAAATTTCATTGATCTCTTTTCTTGGTAATATCCGATATCCCATCCTTGTTGAGATCGCGTTCGTTCAAGAAACGCATAATTTGAACAGTTTCTTAATTGCTCGAAATTTCGGACATTGGAACGAAGACGCCTTTTACCTTTCTTCAATCCCCTCCCATAACAAATTCAAAATCCTTTTATTACTTCCTAAGAGAATCAACAAAAACGACATTGAGCATGTTTCTTCCTCCATCATCACAAAATCACTCCAGGGAATTTTAAACTCGATCTCCCGGGAAATGTGGAGAACACTGAATGATTCTTTAAATTCATATTTTAATGTGAATTTCATTACGTTCCTTTCTTCTTCCCCCACCTGGGGTATCCACTCCTGGGGGTTTTGGAGGTCAATCCGGTCAAACACTTCTTATAATCTTTCTCTATCAATGCAGCTCGCAGATTACGAATTGTGCCCTATTTGTTCCATGCGATTCACCATTTCGTCAAAAAAAATGAAATTAGCTGTCGTTCACTTAAGCGTAGAGTGCTGGCTACGGTCTCGTCTGCCAGTGCTGCAGGATGTCGTGCCGAAATTGTGCCAGATTCAAGACTACTTCAACCTTCGTATCGGCATCTGGATATTTTGTTTATTATATATGATACACTTTTGTGCTGAGTTCATGAGATGAGCTGAGAATGAGATAGTGGTTAGCGTTGATCGATGTGGTGGAATATTGATACATCTAATCCGGACATCCCTGAATTAACGGGATGGTGCGCACCATGGATTTCATGCTTCTTGGAAGTATTCCCTCCTCAGACCTATTCGAGATGGTCCGAGGAACTGCAGGTAGGCCTGAGGTTTCACGTCACACTGAAAGGGTAAATAAAACGCAAAACAGGCCCCAAATTGGTCAAACGTTATATGTCTTCTGAAATGGTTGGTGAAAGTATGAATTGCCCCCTCGATTGGTCTTACGTTAAACGTCCTCAACGAAGTGTCTCGAAGACTACCCTTCATTCACCCTTTTAGGGCTGATTGGCCCCGTAATTCAATAATTGAGCTTGAGAAAAAAAGGTAGCCCTTGGCGTAAGCAGAAGGCAGTCTGTTGGTTAAACCTAGGCCTAACGTCAGGAGTCCCGTAGGGAAAGGTTGGGGTTGAAGAAAGTTAAAGCCATGAAAAATTTGTTCTCACAATACTTTAAAAAGTCACATTTTTAACATCTAAAGCTTACTTTATGTTTATAGTTTTAAGTACTAACTGAGAGCCTGAAATACAATATCCAAACATTTCCCAGTTCAAAGACAACATGAAGTTCCTGCTGATGTCAAGAAATACATACAATTTGTCATTGTGTAGAAACTGGAGAATGGAATATGAATCGCTTGTCGAATGATTGATTTTAGAAGGTCGATGCACGGAAAAGTGCATTCATGCGAATCCACAGTTTTGGTACCCGTTGCCTGTACTCCGAAAGTACTGGGATTCAGTTCCTACATATTATCAGCATTATATTAGATAATATCAATGAATTCATGTTACTTTCGAAATTCGTATTTTTTTTTGCCAAATGTTCCCATCACCTGGAGCACTGTTCATCGCGCAGGACTAGAGCCAGTAATATGTGCACACTAGGTCTGAGTCAAGAATATTTCAGGTAGACTTACCCTTAATCCCAACGCCCTCGGAGGGGCTAGGTGATATGGGATGTAACATATCTTTTCATGACCTGCAAACCGCGCTCGGGTTAGGATTTATCTAGGAACGCACAGCCACAATACATTTTACCTCTAAAATGTTAAATAAATACTTTTTTAAATTGGGCATCTGAAGCATCCTCTACATGAAGACCGGAGGGGAAACACATTGCGAAATATTTCATTTTGCGATTCTTTGTACCTCGCGAAATTGAAATGAACAAAACTAAAATTTCTCGCTTGCTGCATCTCCACCGTCTACCATCGAAGAACGTGTCTGAATTCGCCACCAAGAACCCAACATGTTTTTTCGCAGTTCATGGATTCTATGCATTACTTAATTTCGTGAACATGGTTGAGAATGAGTTCCTCCTTGTGGTCTTCATGTTGTTGTTCACTCAATTTTGGACGTGAACTTTAAAATGACTTCAGATTGAAGCTGAGAGAGAGGGAAAGAGAGAATGAGATGGAGTAGGTAAATCCGTGCAAGCAGGAATCCCTGGAATTATCTAAAATTAACATGTTTCGTTACCACTCAGGTCCTACGCGATGCATTATCATTCCCACCAAGACCGCACTCCCTGAACAACATGGGCTTCTCTCTAGCGGGTATCAAGTTGGTCACGCGCGGTCGGGGCCCTCGCAAATAGAAGTCCCGCGCTCCTCTCTACTTCATGATCCCCCTACATGGTTAGAATTAGCGTCAGTCAGTCACGATCGTCTATATATATATTAGATATATAGACGATCGTGATTGGCTGACTGACTGACGCCAATTCTAACCATGTTTTAGAAAGGTTAGAAATCTGAAACTTAATACATATGTACCTTTTGGGATGCAGAATTTAGAAAAATCCGACTTTGGAGGTACATGCCCTGGGGGTACACATTTTTTGGGGAAACGTTTTTCTTAAGTATATA